TTCCTGCATGAACAGTTGGAATCTTTGCCGAGTACCGAATGGTATAACTTAAAATCTCTGCCCTTATTTTTTCTCAATAATGAAAAGAGATCGGATCGCCCGGAAGGAGAAGCATAAATAAAATTACATCGTTAGATTCTGATTTGGATACTGATAAATATAATCTTAGTGATAATGAATGTTATGAAGATACTATTGACGAGATTTTACGAGAGAATTGGTCATGGNTGACGAGATTTTACGAGAGAATTGGTCATGGAAGAAGAAAGAAATGTTGATGATACTGAGGAAGCTACAGTTCAAATAAAAGATACGAAATGGACCGATCAGAGGCACGATCATATCTGAAAAAACAAACAACTTTTTGTCCAAGCTGTCCTGATCAACCTCAACTTTGCAGAGAATGTTTTAACGTTATACACTGCGAATAATTTTTTTAATAAACCATTTTGATAAGAATTCAATAGTTTCATTACCTCCTGTAGAATATTTGTCGAAATATTTTCGGAAATCCTTTGTAAGTAGTCAAATCAGCGTCACCCGAATTACGGGTGACGTGGCCTGATGAGAACTTTTGCTGTCACCCGAATACGGGTGACGCGGCAGTCAACGTGTTAAATGTTATTTCAGTTTTTTAAAATGGCACCAAAGTGGTACCGCCTGCATACAACAAATAGTTTTTGCATGGCACCAGCGTGGTGCCACCGGACGGCATAGTGTTAACATTGAGAAATTATCTTTGAAATTGAGATTATTCTATTTGCGTTTAACCTTGACGTACGTCTCCAGTGGAAGGTCAAGACAAAATTACAGTTGAATAAGAATGGTTTGATTATGTTTACGTTTTCAATTGATGTCGACGTTAGTCAAAGATAGTTCTGTTATCAACGGTTAATCATTACACGTTCATCGGTACAGACATAAAAAAAACTTTCTTTTTGTAGTTCATATGAAACGTTCGATTCCTTTCTATCTGTGTTGTAAGATTGAATTGTTTAAAACATGGCGTTATAAGTAGATTTATGCAGAATAGAAATCAAATACAAAACTGTAAGGACAGTGGAATAACTTAGGAACAATGTTATGTTATGTTCAACTTGTTACAATTATTAAAAAAGATTTTCATATAACTTATATTTTTCACAATTAAAGTAGATAATTTTTATCTCGCATATTAAACTAAAGATGTAATTGTTCTAACACGTCCAATGGATCATGAACATGTTACTAAATTTCAGAGAAACTACAAAATAAAACTACATCTTATTAATTTTCTATACTAATGATATAAATTATTTTCAGAGACTTGCACAGTGTTTTCAAATAGTTTGAAAATTAAAGATCGCCTCAAGAAAAATGTATAATGAGGTACACCCCGATCCATAAGTATGCGGACACTTCCTTAAGGCAATTATATAAAAAGAGTCATGAAATTATTAATGAAAATTATCATGATCTTTATATTTACTTTGTATTATATTGGAGAATATATTTTACCAATAATGTATTTAATATTTCGCCAATAATAACGAACAAACAATGAAATTTTAACAAACAATGAAAAATATGTTTATTAAGTATTTAATAAATGCTTAAATAAATAATAATTAATAATATTAATATATATATTTCTTTTAAATTTTATTATATTTATATTGCGTATCGCTTATTCATTAAAAGTGTATTGGATTATTTTCTCTCTTTTGAATACTCAGAAGTTTTTCCTTCTAGCATATAAGTTACAAAAACGAATCGACGCCGAGAGTCTCGCCAGAGTACCATTAGATAAACAATGATTTCATATGTATATAGAACAGAGTGCTCTTTGTCTTTAGGTGACGTTTTTGGTTTCGTCTTTGTGAACAGTCTTCAGTCTCCTGGAGCAATCAGGAGAGTAAAGACGGTCCTTCCTCGTACATCAAATTAATAAACTAAAAGGGATAAGTTTAATTCACTGCGTTTTACTTTTATTTATCTACCCATTTCCAATAAAGTGGCAAGTGACAGTGTACTTATGGACGGTGGTGCGCGTGTACGGAAGAAAGGAGGAAACGATTGTGGAAAGGAAATAATGGCGATTTCGACAATGCGCGGAAGTGAATTGTTCTGGAAATAAGTCCGGGTAAAATCCAGTGGAAATTCAGTTATTAGGGTGTCGTAACCAGTCAGGCATTTCCTTTTCTCGGGGGGATACGAACGGCTGGAGCAAACACTCGCACAGTAATCTGCATCACTTGCTGGAAAAAATGGTTTTAATTGTTTCAATTTCGGAGTAAATTGCAACGCCACTAGAAAGCCACTGGTGAATTACGCCTTCCTTCCTGCTCGTCCGCGGAATTAATTCGCGCCCGCGCTAATAATGGAAACCCCGTGCAAATTGTCGCTAAAGCAAACAGAGAATTAGTGGTCTTGCGTCATCAAACGAATCGTAAGACCATTAAAACCAGCGCGTCACGTCCACTTCACTTTCTATTTCCGTGTCGTGCCGAGCGTGTGCGTGCTCCTGTTTCGACAATTTCCACGAGATCCTTCCACACCGTTTAACCGTACTCCGTAAAACTATTCGACACGAACCACCGATCACGATTATAATGGCGTAGAAACTCGCGAACGATGACTCTGACAATTCGCTGCAATCCTACGAATGAAATTAATATTAAATATGAAACGCATGAAACGCAATTCATCGCTGCAGCTTGCGTTTCTGTGCCGCGATAAGTCGAAATTGGTGAAGAATTGGTAAGCATGATTCGCTGTAAGATACTAGAAAATCTTCGGGAACGGTGATTTATTATGTTTATTGCCTTCAACTCCTAATGCTTATTTAATACATTTATAATTGTTTGCGTATCGAGTTCATTTATTTTAAAGGAAATCTCCCATCTGAAGGAAACTTAAAAGAAGGCGTTCAATAAATCATTGGGTTTTTCGAATTTCATGCTAAATCGATCATTTCTCCGAAGGAGTAATCAAAATTTTCAAATGGAGAAACCTTGGACCTCGATCATAGATAGTACCATACGAATTACCCAATAACTCTTGTTAAACTTTAGCTTTAATTTCTAACGACCAGAGTTGGACAAATTTTATTTTAAATAATAAATAGCAAGTTAAATTAATATTGCAAATAATAATTAAATATTCTATTTAATTGAAATGTCATTCAAATAATGCATTTATTACTTCATTTAAATTTTATTTATTATCTTGTTGTTGTTCGTTTGTCATGTATAAATATTACTTTCCATCCATTATTATCGTTGAACCTGCGTCTTTCTTCGTAAACTAGATGATATCGCTTGCAATTAGAACGATTCAAGACCATTATTTTTTAACAATTATATGCGCTCGACGCCGAATAAATAATAAATAATGAGCAACTAAATAATAATTAATAAGTAACGATTGAAATTATATTTATAAATAAGAAATAAATTGTATTATTTTAAATAATTTATTTATATCAATATAATACAATTAAATAATAAACAATTTTTTAAAAATAATCATTTAAATGAACATTTACTTAAATGATGCCCAACTCTGCAAATAACTAGACGGCGGATTTTATGCAAAATAAAAATTATCTATCCAAAAATTCGGTATCAATCTAAACATTTCTAATAAGCTACAAATAATCTAACACTATATATACTATACTTACCGTTTCATATTCTACCTTCTCACTGTCGTCAAAAAAGCATGGAATCAGCCTACTAATGACAGTTTAATCCTACCCCGTCCTCGATCATCGGCAACAAGGAAGTCGATTCGATAGTAACAAAACAAAAATGTGCAATCTATCCCGAGTCGATCCATCTCGTTGCCGACCGATCCGCACAGCTCAACGACTCATTAATGACTAGCCGAGCGATTATCATCGCCGCGGCGGTTGAATGATTGCGCGGCGTCGAAACGCAACGGAGTTGCACTGCCGCGGCGATAACGCGATAATGAACGTACGGTGCACAATCGGAGATTCGAATCGACTGCGTGCGGGTGCATGCCATCACGCCTTCTTGTCGGAATTGCGTGTAGTTATGTTGCAGCGGCACCGACATTTCTGTGGACCTCGCGACTCTATCGACACCGAACCTACGGAAAGATTCATCGATATCCTCTGATCTGATAGTCCAGGTGAATCGATGGACGCGGATGAACGGTACGCCTGGGGAAACGTTGCTGAACCTGATGATGCTCGCGCAGATAAAAGTACCTTTCATGACTGTCTTCGGGACGTGATTGATTTTCTAGCGTAGATACTCGAGCACAATGTTACAGTAGCAGGAAATCGAAAACAGTAAACTAATGGAAAATAATGTGACGACCTGTGACCCATTAGTTCAAGCAAGAACTACAAGATATGTTGATTTTTTATGCATTTCTAGCAATACTATGCTAGTGAGATACTAATATGAGCCGTTTATTTTAAAAGTGGCATGAGTCACTTTGTTTTTAAGTCGATATATTTAAGGGTTTGCGTTTTAACACGTTTAAAAATATGGATGCTAACTTTCGAGAAGATTTACTTGTATTTGTTATCTCAGGATACTGATATTTTTCTCAGTATAAATAATTTCGTATAAACATTAAGAAATCACCACTTTTCATTGCGGTAAAGTGACTTATGCCACTTTCAAAATAAACGGCTCATATAATTGGGAACTACGGTGTTAAGATTCGTCTTAGCACGAATGCTTTATTTGCGAATACAGTAAACTCTCTTCAATTGTCGCTCAGCTTGTATCCAAAAAAGGGGCAAATTGGTAAGTGGAGATGCGATTATTCGACCCTCGCGACTCGTTTTTATCGTTGCTGACAAAATCAGCGACTAAAAAAACGAGCCGCGTTGCTCAAATAGTCGTATCTCCTCCAAATTGTCCATTCTTGTTTACAAGCTGAGCGACAATTGGAGACAATTTACTCTCTCTCTCTGTAGTTCGTTTACGAATAATTCATTCGCAAGTAAAATGTTCTTTGTTTTTGCGAATAAAACTAATTTATTTCAAACAATCTCGGAGGATTTTTCAAAATCTTGAAAACTGTTAATTTACACAGGCCTGCAAAATAATTTTAGTTGAAGAATTTGATTTTATCACTATTCATTTTGCAATTGTTTTAAACAAACATGATGTTTTTATAGCACGGAAATGTTTCGAAGTTTGAAAAAGTGGAGAATATAGGCTCAAGTGTCCCCATTACGATTGATTTTTCAAAAATATATGGTAAAAAACTAAGTTGTTATTCGCGAATGATACGTATAAAAATTTCATTTTTATTCGAACAAATGAAGCTATTCGTTATTCGAGAATAACGGATCAGATTTTATTCTTATCCGCTATTCGTCAAGCGACTGAAGTTTGCCGAACTCTGCCTGTGAGCCACAACCGCAGTCCACTTATTGATCTTGGATCTTGGCCTAGCGACGTCCTAGCCGTCCGATCTTTTCCAAGTAGCGAGAAGATGTCTGAAAAGTGGTGTTCGCCAGTGGGCCGAAGCTAATTGAAATCTAGAATCCAATCTCGTGTGCGTTGTAGCCGAGGTAACAGCGCGACGGTGTCAATGCCGCGAGAGCGTTCGCTGCCTCGAGTTCTCTCGACGCCGCAATACGAAGAAAACGTTCTCCTCTCTTTCTATCGTTCGACGCCGGCCAGTGTTTTCTGTGCCCTCTCCGAGGATGAACTTCGACAAAGAAGGATGTACTCTCAATCAGCGTGGGCGACGATTTCTCGCTACGGCGAGCCCCGCGATACATCGCGAACTCGACTCGAACCGCCCACGCATAAATCAGAAGCGATGCGGGCGTGCCCTGCGAGCTATTCTCAGAGCTAGACGACTTTGCCGTCGTTCCTCGACTTTATTGTATGCACCGGTATATCGGTTACATCGTTGTCGGATCACCGAACTCAACAATGAACCGTTCAATGAGTTACGAGCTAAGCTAAATCGAGTTTGATGTTTAGTACGATTTTACTCGCCGCGAGTATGAATTACACACACGGCGCCGCTCTTATCGAGCATTCTGACATTACGAATAGCGAATCGATGGTTGCGCAAACACCGTTCGCCTTTTCTCGTATGATAACAGCACATACTTATAATACGATCTAGACACATTCGAAATGACATTATTTGAAGCATCATTTCAAATAACGTGTCATTTTATTTCATAGTTATTTTCATGCCTGCGATCCCTTCTGGAATTATATTATTTTAAATATTATTTTAAATAACATAATTATTTAAAATAATTGTGAAGCTAAATTTAATGTTCGAGGCTTTTTACTTTAAGAAAAGAAATACTTGCGAAATGACATTATTTGAAGTATCATTTAAAATATCGTGTCATTTTATTTCATAGTTATTTTCATGCTTGCGATCCCTCTTCTGGAATTATATTACTTTAAATATTATTTTAAATAACACAATTGTTTAAAATAATTATGAAGCTAAATTTAATGTTCAAGGCTTTTTACTTTAAGAAAAGAAATACTTGCGAAATGACATTATTTGAAGTATCGTTTCAAATAACGTGTCATTTTATTTCATAGTTATTTTCATGCCTGTGATCCCTTCTGGAATTATATTATTTTAAATATTATTTTAAATAACGCAATTATTTAAAATAATTGTGAAGCTAAATTTAATGTTCAAGGCTTTTTACTTTAAGAAAAGAAATTCTTGCGAAGATTCCATAAAATATAATCTTTTTGTTGACTATTATTTCGTTGTGACGAGAGCGTTGCTTCAAATAAATTGTTGTAAAATTTCACAAAATAAAATCATTTCGATGATTGTCTCTTTGTGAAGAGGGCATTGCTTTAAACAATTTTAATTTCAATTCATTAGACTTGCAACTGTGTAACAGTAATTTATGTCGCTTCGAGTTAAGAGGAAACAATATATCGACTACATGTGTAGGTAAACTGGTTTTACTTTCAACCAAAAAAATTGAAAAGTGAAAATCAAGAAAGCAGGGAAGTTGATGTTCAAATACAAGTTTAATTATTAATTCAGGACTATAATTAAACTTTGAGTGCAGTGAATGAGCGCATTGCGACTTTTAATGGGCAATTAATATTCTGGTGACATTCGATGCATATTATTACTTGCAGTCTTTCCGTTGGAAGATTTATATATAGAGAAAATGCACCAGAGTCTAAAATAATATTCTTAAAATTATAATGAGATTTAATGATTCGCATACAAACCGAAACTAAAAATGACAGAGAAAATGCTAATTTTATGTGCTAAATAAATTACTTTTATCAGGAGATCGTGGATTTTTATGCAAAATAAATATTGTACATGCAATAAACATCTGCATCACTTGCAAGGAATACAAACCAAATAGAATGGCATTCCTTTCTTTAATCAGTTTAATAGATTAAAAATATTGTAATAACGCTATTAAATTCTATTAATCTTTTTACTATTTTACTTTTTACTCGTTCAACATTGTCATAAATAAATAAAATTCGTGGCATATTTATCGTCATCAAAATGATAAAGAAGAACGATGAAGAAAAAAAAATGAAGAATTCATCATCAAGAAATCCAAAGGAATTGGTCATTCCTTTCAAAAGACTGCCAAAACAATCGTCAACGGGTAAAATGATAGCCACTGCTAATACTTTTCATTCATAAGAGTTCAAGCAAATACGTCAAAGATAAAATTGATATTTCATATGCACCGAGAGCCAACATTTTTACTGCAACCGCTTCGGAAAAATAGTTTCTAAACCAAACAGTTTTCCCGTTGATCCAGTTGCACGATACGGACACAGTTGCGATACGCTGTTGCACGTAGATCTGGTAGAGTGTATGCATTAATGGAGGTAGGTAGTGCGAGTCGTGACCTCGTGGATTACGTAATCGGTTGGAACGTGTGCACGTATATCGGAACACCGACGCGATACCTCCCCGATTTACACAGATTTGCCTCTGTCAGTTTTGCAATAGTGTACACGACCCCTGCTCGTGAAAGAATCCACTGTGCTCGAGATAGCTACCCTCGACAAGTGGAACATCCACTCTTCTAATCGTGATTTATCACTTGAAAAAAAAATCGTTTACATAGGATCCGAGAATCGAGAGCTACAGCTTCGTTTGATAATGCGATCGTTACGTTTGAAAAAATAACATCATCCTTTTTAGAATATGTGAATCTAATTTGTTGGCAATCGTCTTCATAACTCGCAGCTCAAAAAATTAAATTAAAAAAATGTTTTAAATTAATCAATTAATTAGTTGCAGCAACATCAGAATCAATCATTATTAATATCATTTTTACCGATCTTTTTTAATCTATTTATATTTTTACAAAATTAATAATACTAATAATAATATTTATTTTATCAACGGGAGAAAATTCCCCGTGTTACGATAATATAGCAATATATCGCATAAGAAGAAAAAATGTGATACGATAGAACAGAAAATAAGTGATCAAGATAATTGAATGAAGTGAAAAATGGAGAAGATAATAGAGAATAATACAGTGAGATCATTAATATAACAGAAAATAAGATTAGAATAAATCGAAAGGGTAAGAGTAAGAAGGAAGCGAACAATTAAAGACGAAAATGTCATAAAATCTCAAACATATCATTCAAGGAGTTGAGAATAATTAATTAATTGTATAATTATTATAGGGAAAGTTGGAAAGTCAATTGAGAAAAACAATTTACTGATATTAATTTTACCCTTGGTAAAAAAATAATGTTAAGCGTAAATAGTAAATAAAATATTACAAATAGTAAATAATCTATTTTTGCGGATCTTGAAATTACTGTGATTTAACTTTGAAATATTTTACTTATTGTAATATCATTTTCGTACGTG